GATAGAAACAAAAACAAAATTTTCAAAAACAAAACTCTCAGGCCAAAAAAAAAAGAAAAAGGTTAGCTTAAGTAACCTTTAAAAAATATACAGAAGTACAGATTGGTAGTTACAAAATAGTCACAGGGATGTAAAGTACCTCATAGGAAATATAGTCAATAATACTGTAATAACTGTGTACAGTTCCAAGTGGGTACTGGAAATATCAGGGGAACACTTTGTAAAGTATATGGTCATCTAACCACTTGATGCTGTACAGGTAAAATACAAAATAATATTGAATGTAAACTGTAATTGAAAAAAATACTTTAAATATCATACGGGACCATTTGGTTATAGGGCAGGGGGGAAAAGAACTCACATGAAACTAATTTCAGGCTTTTAAAAAATTTACTCAAATAATTGGATAAGTTTGATTTCTCTCGACAATAATTTTGTGGAAAAAATAAGTGAAATTTTAAAATGAGGACACAAGTAAGGATTATCCCTAGGATAGTTGGTTGTGATGGCAGAGTACATTTTTATGGCACCATTCCAAGTGTAAAACCTTGTGTCCTGATGGAATGTTGACAGATTTGTATGTGCTGTCATATAAACAGTGTTAATTCATTACTGAATTATAAAGTACTTAGAAATGTTGGCCAGTTAATTTACTGGACTCTATAAGGAGGATCCCTTATCCTACAGTGTTGCCTTTGGGGGATGCTGCTCCGATATATTTGACTGCACAAAAGCTTTACCCTTCTTGACTGAGCTTCAAGAGTAGAAGGGATCATCAGTTAGAAAGGAAAGGACCTGGTGTGTAATCTAAATGAAAATGAATTTTAAAGGGGTTTAAGGTTGGGAGATTTTAATGAACTACTTGTTTTCCTTGTTCTTTCTTGCTTTTACTTCACTGTGGCCTGAGGTGAATGGAGTCCTTTGTTTTGGTTCATCCAAACTGCTCTCTTTAATGTGTGTTCTGGACCGTTCCCAAGAAATGCTGTAGGCTTATGTTGAGGGCCCACAATCTGAGAAAGAAACAGGGCTTGGAGGTGTCAGACAGTGTGCTACCGCTCAGCTAAAGATTCAGACATCTATGCTTTGCTACAGTTATAAAATTGGGAACTTTCCCACTCAATAAAATGGTAGTTTGGTGTGTTTTTAAATTGAGCTTTTCTTTTGAATAAAAAGAAAACTTGAAATCAACAAGCCTTCTGTTTGTCCTTCCAGCCACTAGAGGGCAGAATAAGCACACTTCCTGGGACAGGTGTAATTCATTTTGATGGAGTGAGACTACAGTCAGAACACATTTACTAATGTTTATCTGTATAGGAATTTGTAGAACAATGGAGTTCCTACTTTAGGGTGCCTACTAATCAGCAGAGGAGCTTTTTAAAAATGTAGCTTCCTGGGCCTCTACCCTCAGATACTCTGATTTGATAGCTCTGGATAGGATGCAGGATTCTGTGTCTTGGATTTTACTTTGAGAAACATTGATCTTAATGTTTTGGACATGCATTGTTGCCTGGTTATCTTTTCTCTTAGGATTCCAAAGCAAAATGATTATTTTGGAGAAAAAAACTTAAAGAAAGCAAGGTATAGTGGAACTAGAATGTTATTAATTTAAAGATCTTTGTTTAACAAGATTCAAAGGAGACTGGCTTTGTAGGGATTCAGAACCAAAGAAGCTACTAAAAACTTGTTTTTGCATGGAGTTAGACTTCAATCAATAAAGATCATAGAATCCTTAGGCGACAAGACTAATAATTTTTAATTAAATATCCCTTTCATGACCTTCTCACAGTGCAACCTAAGATAAAATTAACCTTTGGATGTAATGAAGACCCTACATAAAATGTCTTGGCATTGTGAACTGTAGTTGCAGAGACCTTCTGAGTAGAGTTTATGGAATCCCGTCGTCATCCTGAACAAGTATAGAGACTCTCCTCTATATGTAAAGATCCAACTATAGAAATGCACATTGTCCTTCTGGCAAGGTGATGATTTGATTTTCACTAGTGCCCCCAGAGAGCGGTGCATCCTTGAGGGGAAAGTTTTGCCATTGCTCTTAATTGGCAAGAAGAATGTGGTAAAATCATTCAGATCTGTGATAGTATGTCACAAGTTAGAAAGGTAGGGGGACAAGGAAAATGAAACTTGGTTCTGAAGCTGGGGTTTTGACCAATGAAAGGAAGATAGTATTTTTTTAAGATGTATATAAAAGCAATGTATCTTCTCTGAGCCTCTCCTGGGCCTTCTTTTCTCTGAGAATACAACCCTCTATCCTCACATATCTCATACAAATATTTTTTAGTGTCACTTCCTCTCTCCTTCCTAGTTTTCAAGGTTCTTCTGTGATTGTATGTGGATGACAAAGAGAGCTCTGTAAACACACACAGATGTAAAAATTATTTTTGAAATTAAAGGCTAAGACTGTAGAATGTTATTTTAGATATGATTTTATAGAAATAGGAAGATGCTTTTTCTTAGGAATGATGCTGTCTTTACAATAAACTTTAATTATTAGCACTTTTAATAATCTGTACATGTTATTAATCTGACAGTGCTCCTGATTTTGATGCTAATATGAATTATTATATTGAAGTAATCCTTCCAGTAGAGGAGTCTCTAAAAGAGGTTTGGTTCCTTGAAAGTTCAGTAAATCCAATAATGTTAGCCACTTGGGAAGCCTATTTATAGTTAATATTTGGAACAGATGATAAAATGAGAATCTGTGCATTATAATCATAGAGCACAGGATTTGTGGTGTTAACTTCGTTGTGAGCTCTGGCTCACATAAGATAAAAAATCAAATCCTTACAAAATGGGTGGACTAATGAATAGCCCAAAGCTCCTGAAGCTCTCTTAGTTACAGGTATGCCAATAATGAAGCTTCCCCTAAGCACTTAGGGCAGCCAGGAGGAACCTGGGGGTGACTGGAGTCCCTGGCCAGTCATCTCTGCCTCTTCATCTGTTTCCCCCCAGTGCCATGGAAACATGTTTTCTGTTTGTGCCATTATGTGACAAAGGTTGGGAAGCACTGTAAAGGCCTTGTCCTTTAATTCTTTCTAGTTTCTGTTAATAATTTTATGATCAGTTGATTAGTACCCTTCAAAATGTTACTAGTACCCTCTCTTGATTTTTATCTAGAAAAACATCTTATGCAGCAGCATTATCAATGTCTACTTTGAAATACTATGTAAAATGAAGTATGCAGTTCCTTCTAAAGTTCTAGCCCAAGGTGACTTAAAAATAAAAATAGTTTTGAAAAACATTTAGACCATCATGTATTTTGTAATACAGTTGGGTCACTGCTGATTCCCAAGATAAATGTGTTTAAACAGAAGCTTTCTCATTCGTCACCAGCCTAAACTTTCATCCAGATTTATTCAATGATGATGCAAGGCCACAGCATTGGTGTTGTAGTTCATCACCATGGAAGTGTTTCTGTCAACAAATCCTCTCTTGGCTATTATGAAATTGATTTTGCAGGGAAAAGGAGGATAATTGTGAAAGATTTCTTTTACTTCTAAAGATCTTTACAGTTTATCTAAATGTGTCTAAATGAATTGTTTTTACAATCAATAGCTGGCAATAAAATTAACCACATTAAATTAACAGTTACGAGGGTAGAAAAGGGGAAATGGCAATGAGCTACTTTGTCTGAAATAATTTTTTTGGAATGTGACTGGGGAACTAGATTTGTAATTTAAAATGTTCCTTTAAAAGCTGTTTTTCCCTGCTACAGAAGTACAGATTATGCTGAGAGAGACCTATGAGCCAGATATCAATTTTTAGGCTGCCTTGGTTGAGATTTTCTCACCTACCTTGTAAATGGCATAACAGTAATCACAAAAGAAACTTCCCTCAACATACTTCAAGATCTTTTTTAAACATGCCTTTTCTATAACTTGTGTTTGTAACTATCTTTGGCTTTTATTTGCTTGTTGAAAGGCTAAAAAACAACACATGATTAAGTTGTAAGCTTCTAAAGGCAGCCCACTTACAAGCAAGGTAGGAAGCACCTACCTTAAGTAATCCAAACGAATTGAGTAACCAAATAGGAAAAAGGAACAAAAGTTACATTTTTGCTTTGAAACAGTGTTCAAGAGCACATGTCATAGTAGCTGATTCTAGGTTTGGATGCAGACATATATGTTTTATGGGGATTTTTATCTGTGGTATAAATACAGTCAACTCTTGATTGTCAAGGTAACTTGTATTTACAAATGTGCTTTTTCTGGCTTCCTATCACATTTCAAAGCTTTTTACTTTCACCATCAGCTCATGTGTTCACAAAAGCAAATTATTTCATATTATTTTATTCAGTTATTATCAGTACATTAAGTTCCTATGTTCCTAACGTGTGAAGCACTGTGCTGGGCACCAAAGATATTGAGAGACATCTCAAGCCTGAAGTTAAGTTTGCTCCTGAGAGACCTTATATTTCATGTTGAAATCAAAGAGACAAAGTTTTATTTATTTAAACCACTTTCTCCTCCTCTGACATATGATCAAAAGTTGACTGTAAATGGGAAAAGGTTCTGTTTGTTCTTTTCCCAAGGAAGAATTAATAGACATTATGAACAGTAAATAAAATTCTACTGTACATGCAAAAATATAACACAAAATGACCAAAAGAAAATTGAGCAAGCAACGGTAAAAAAACCAAATTATTTACTGCTTTATAATGTTAAGGTATTTCACCAAGACAAGTTGCAGTCAAATTAATGTGAGTTATGGAAAATGAAATACATGAAGATGTATTTATACAAGTGCAGAGTAAATATTTTCCATACAGGTATGTAAATGAAAAGATATACAGTAAGTGCACACTTGATACGACTATGCAGGCAACAGTTAGTTTCAGGTACTGTTGAATAGTTCATGCACAAACCTTCCCAAAGTACAAGTTCAGCCAGTCTTTGGGGGATGTGGAGGGATAATTAAAAAGGATTGAGTTCCTTGCAATAGTATCAGTATAGACTGGATGAGGGTCAGTTATATATATTACTTACTGTAATTTGTGATTGTCGAGGAAGAGGTGTGGCGGTTGGTGTGATAGTAATACTGCTGGTGACTTTATTGGTCGTTTTGTTTAGTGCCCCATTAGTTAAACCTTGAGTTCGGTTATCCTGCGGTGGTGTTGAAGGGCTGGCAGGTCTCACGGGGCTGGCTACAGCTTGCATGTAAGGACTTCCTAAGTGAATGTGGATTTTATTATCCTCAGTAGTTATCACACTTGAACTATTACTGTTTGAACGTTGAAACTGCCATGATGACTGCCGGTCTGGGGAGACTCTGAAAATCGCGTGCTTGGCACTGATTTCTATTGGCTCTGGGGAGCGTCCCTGCTCAGGAGAGCTAGCAGAACCAGTCACAGCCAAAACCTGAATAGGTGACATTGTCCTTTCTGGAGTTATAGAACCACAGGACTCTGGGGTCTGTGCTCTGGCAAAGGTTGCCATGGTAATTGGGGACATACCCTGCTCTAAATTCACGAGGCCTTCAGCAGAGGTTTTAGATTTCACTGGTGTTATGGAAGCGTTCTGGAGGATGGTTATCCTTTGCTTAGGGGTGCCACAGTTTGGTATCACTGCAGTACTTGTGTAAGAGTGAGGACTGTCTGTGGTCGGACTTGTAATTTCAAGAGTGGCTGTGTTTTGGACGTGGTCAGGAGTAACCTTTATGTGAAGTGGCTGCCCCGGTGAGTGGCTTAGGACTAGATCTCCAGTTTGTACGAAGTTGCCATTGGGTTTAGTTTGTATTTTTCCATTCTGAGGATGGCCCTCCTTGGATTTCATCCAAGGAATCCATAGCTTCCTGTTAACAGGACAGGGAGTAGATGAGTTGCATTTGAAGGACAGCATAGGTTCCTCCTCATTAGGATCCTCATCCTGGTTCTCATTCTCCTCATAAAACTGACCGTTGATGACTGCTCGTTCCAGAGGAATGAGACTCTTGTAATCGGGTGGTTCATTGTCTACTGCTTCTGTTTGAACTTCTTTCGAAAATACTTGAGGGTCAGAAATTTTTCTTCCATTGAGACTAGGCCGTAGGCTCTTACTGAAATGCCGGTACCTCTCTAACTCTTTAGTGAGGTTTTCAATCTCTCTTCCTAAATCTCTGTTCCTGTTTTCTTGTTGATTGAGTTTCTTTTGCAGAACTGAATGGTCTCCCTGGAGGTGACATATCAGGTCCTCAGTTGCCATGTATTCATGAATTTTCTCTTTCAGTGCCTCCACTTCTCTTGAGAGGTGCCCTGATTTAGCTTCTTCTTCTTGAAGCCTTTTGAAAAGCCATTGTTCGTGGCTGGACTCTGTCTTTTCTGCTAACTGGTACTTGGCAAGTTCCATTTTAACATGTTCCAGCTCTTCAGATAAAAATTGAGCTTTGTCTCGTTCATTAGCATACCTTCGTTCTAGAGTCTCGTACTCATCTTCTGTTTTCATGAGGTCATCCTCAATGGCTTTCATATCCTTTAATTTCAGTCTCAGTTTTTCTACTTCTTGAGAGAGCTCTTTAATCTTATTGTTTTCTTGGTGTAATGTTGCTGTGGACTTATTAGAATCTTGATTTAATTTGTTTTTTAAGAAATCTTTCTCCATTGCTTCCAGTGATTGAAGCCTGTTTTTCAACATACTAACTTTGGACAGGAGATCATTTCCTTTCTCTTCTTCTGCTTTCAGTTTGTTTTTTAAATCATCTCTCTCCTTGGTTACACTGTACATTTTTTCTTCTACATCAGTTTTGGACTTCAGTGCCCTCTTAGTTTCCTCAATTAACTTCTCAGTAACTGTTGTCACTTTATTTTGCTCCACTTGAAGCTGAGAAGAAGCAGCTTGTAACTTATCTTCAGTTTGCTTTAATTTTTCACTCATTGTTTTCCGTTCATCTACCAGCATCACAGTTAATGTTTTCAGTTTAGTTAAATCTTCTTTTAGGGTGAGTTCTGTCTTTTCCAGCCGACTTTCAATGTCTTCTAGCTCTTTGATCCTTACTTTTAAACTCTCCAGTTCTTGAGACAACTGCTTTGTGGTCATCCTTTCTTTTTCTAAGTTGCATTTCAGGGAGTAACATTCTTGTTTGCTTTTGTTGAAAGCATCTTCTAATTTTTCCAGAGCCATAATTCTTTTGTTGAGTTTTTCAACCTCGAGTTTAAAGTCTTTACTCTGTGATGTTTCTTTCTCAAGCCTTTTATTGAGCTCTCTGCATTGCTCCTCCATTTTTATGAGCTCTTCATCCTTCCCTTCCATTTCTAGCACACGTTTCCTGAGCTCCTCCACCTCAGCCATGATGCCAGAGTTTCCATATTCTTCCTTGTTGATTTTTTCTTTTATATCTTGGAGTTCCTCTTCTGCTTTTCGTAAAGATCTGTTTGTTTCTTCTAACTCATCAATTTGCCGGCTGAGTGCTGCCAGCTTTTGTCGAAGCTGGCGATTTTGACTGTCCTCATTGGTGAGCTTTGCCATAATTGTTTCTTGGTTCTGGTGAAACTTTGTGGTCTGCGTTTGCAGTTCTTTCTCTAGTCTGGTTGCCTTCTGCTCTTCTTCCTGAACTCTGGCTTCAGCAAGGGCTAGTTTAGCACGTGTTTCCTTCGTACTTGTGATTAGGTCTCGGATTTTTTGTCTTTGAAGGGCAAGCCGTGCTGTCAGCCTTTGTTGTTCATCCACCACCATCAAAGCAAAAGACTTCAGTTTAGTCAACTCCTCTTTCAGGGCGGTGACCCTCTTCTCCGTTTCTTGCTCCTTCTTCTCCTGGGATTCTGTTTCTTGGTCAATCAGCTTCTTTAATCTGAAAAATACAAGAGTGCATTCTACTTTGTGATTGGTGCTTTAGTAATTTATCAGCTGTGATTAAACATTTATGTAATTTAGAAAGATTGGTGTTTAGTCAGCTCTTACAGAATACAGAAAGGAATTCCTGAATTTGATGGGGGAGGAGAATCTTGATAGTTATCTTGCTTTTCTGCTTTCACTGCCCCCAAACCCCCGACCCCTCATTGATTGGTAACAGTTGTTCACCAGGAGCCTTAGTAGAAGAGTAAGGGCAAGAATATTTGGGTTAAATTGCTTATGTAGTTTATAATCCATAGGCAGTCTCACCTGAAGGCTGTATAAACAGGTTCAAGTTTGAGTTTGAGATTCAGTTGGACCTGGCTTCAGGACTGGCCCTGCTCTTATCAGCTAATTAATCTGGATAGTAATTTAACATCGCTGAGCTTCAGTTTCCTCATATGAAAAATAGGGCAATAATTGTATTACCTGAGGGGTCATTTGTGAAAATTAAAAGATAATTCATCTAAGATTTCCACAGTGTTGGAATATAGTAAGCATTTGATAAGTGCCCGTTATTACTGTTGTTCTTTTTTATTAATGTGGTTATTATTATATTTATCAAATGGTTTGCTTGAACTGTTACCATACATGTACATTAATGTTTGGTACTCAACTTCCTGATTTGTAGTTAAGGTAAAATTTTATTCACATTGCTTAGAAGTTATGCAGTTCACTGATGGAACTCTCTGCCGATTAAAACTTGGTTTATATTAGCATGACACTGTACCAGGAATCACTTCACGTATATCTTCATATCCACAGTGGATGGTAGTTGAATGAAGGGGAGTTGAGACTTTTCTGAAGGGGTTTAGAGTTTTTATAACATATGGGAAGAGTGCAGGGTTTGACAGGAAAGAGCTTATTGATGAGAGTTAGATGCTAGAAACGATGGAGGAAAACATCTATTATCAGAAACACAATGATTCCCTCTTAAAAATTATTCTATTGTAGTATTTTATTTTGTTTTATTCTACATTTTAAATTTGTCAGCATAACAGGAGGGCACTTCACATAAAACATAAACTTTCTCTTCCACACACTTTTTTCCCTCAGTAGTAAGATCATAGTTTTAAATTTGTGGCACTCTTAATTACACTGGGAATGGGCTGATTATAGAGGGTGTAATTACAGCTTTGAAGTATTGTTATACAGGAGCTAAAATAGAATGGAGTCCCTGAAGAACCGAACTAAAATACTTGTCATGGATGAAAAGTTATAAATATTTGTTCTGGTCAAGCATGAAGAGTTCATAATATTTTTATTTTATTTTATTTTATTTTATTGATTTTTAGAGAGAGAGCAAGACAGACATCGATTTGTTGTTCCACTTATTTATGAATTCATTGGTTGGTTCTTGTATGTGTCCTAACTGGGGATTCAACCCTCAACCTTAGTATATCAGGACAGTGCTCTAACCAACTGAGCTACCTGGCCAGGTCCCATAATATTTTAACATATCTTTTCTCGTAGGAATGAGTTAATTACCCAATGCATGTCTTTAATACTTGCCAGAGAACTTTCTTTTTGAAAGTTGTTTAAGGATCTGAGAGGACATTTAAACTAATTTGGGACAGGCTTCTTGGAAATAAAGAGCTTTTTTGAGATCCTAATCTGCTGTTCTGTAATTACACTACACAAGAGGTTCATGTTTACAATAATTGTATAATGTAAGAATTCCCAAACTTTTCTGTGTGGGGAAGATCCACTTTTAGTTTTTCCTGTTTTGAGAAGCTGACAGGAGGTTGGCCCAAGGGCTGTGGCCTGTGAAATTCTGAAGAAGCTGGGCTGGATGCTGGGGTGGGGCAGATGATGATCTCAACAGTCTTGGCAAGAGGCTTGCCCATGGCTTTCAGCCCTGTCCCACTCCCTGTTTGAGACACCTGGGAGCCTGGGAAGAGAAACATGGCAGCTCCTTCCTGAATGGTCCTGGGATTGCACGACCCAGTGGCAGAGTCCATGGGTAAATCGCTTTGGTGGTGAAACAGTTAGAGAGACTTTGGCAAGGTGTTTCTTCCTCCTACCTTAGCACTGGAATCTGGTTAAACAATGCGCTCAGCATAACTGCAGCAAAATATTTTCCCATTCTGCATCACATTTCTTAGAGTTTCATTAGAGAACAGTTGTACAAAAACTTTTCAAGATTTCTTTTCAACTTAAATAATACCACATGTTATTTCATTTTCAAGAGAAGGAGGTGTGTTTCCTTAGGATATAAAGGAGGGAAGATTGTTTTGCAGTGTAATGAAAAGGCCATTTAAGTTGAATGGTGATTTGTGAATCCTGGCAGGACCATGACGGGCAGAAAGGATTTTGAAGAAGTTTTAAATGTTTCCATTGTGTTCATTGTTTTCAGCAGCAAGCATGATGCATGTTTCTCAGCACAGGACAAGCTCATGTATCTTTTTATGGTTTTTTGGAAATTGGCTGGCATCCCCATCTGTTCCCAAGCCCCATCTTACAAGGTAGGCACTTAAAAATGTTGATTTGAATACATTTGCTCCCAGCATTTTCTTACTACTTTCTTCCTAACAACCTGCTCTTTCCCTGGGCCAGTCCCATGGGCACACCACATGACAGTCAATATGCTAGTCATGTAAAACCTGTTGGGGACAGAAATAGGAGTTTATATGTGGAAAGAGTGATACCTCTAGCCATCATTTAGGACAGGCAACCAGTGATGTAAACCTTTCAGAGCCAGCTGGTTGCTTGTAATGATATTATACATTGTGGTGGTATGTACACGTAAGAGACAGACAGATGGAGAGAGAGACAAACAGACAAACTAGTTATGCTACTGTATTGGAATTAGCATTTCTGGTATGGTGAATGGGCTTATGCTAAATCATTCACTGTTTCTTGCTTTATATCCAGGAGCATTTGAAGGTTAAAGTTTGAGGTTAGTTTACATCTTGGAGAATAATGTTTCTTTGCAAAGTTAGCTGGTCTTTATAGAATTTGAATCTGCAAGCCTGGCCTGTTGTGTGCAGTGCCCTAAACAAGTAAGCTAATTGTCACACTGCTAATTACTATGCCCGGATGTGTATGTGTGCGCATCTTTAAGGGTCTCCCTGCACGTGTATACACAAATACACATATTTGAATATGCATATTTTTTTCTTTCAAGTATATATAGGTGAATGCTTTCAGCAAATATTTGCTGAGTGTTGATTATATTTTAGTCATTTGATGTCCACAGTCATTTGTCCAAAACCTTTGAAACCAAATATTTTCAAAATTCTAAAGTTTTAAAATTCTAGAAAGGCAGTAAGGAGCATCCACCATATATTATATAATAGCTCCAGCAAAGCCTGTGGCACCACCTCCTAAGCAAACCTCTGAATATTTCTGCAGTGAATCATGTGAATGGTTATATTAAGTGGGATAATTAAGATAGTAAATAGCCTCCTATCTATTCAGGTTTTGCTGCTAAATAAGATCAGAAAAGAAGCTTTGCTGCCACAATTTAGCAAAAACTTTGTGTAGTTTTTAGATTTTTGAAATTGCAGACAAGGGATTGTGTACAATGAAGGCATAGACTATTGGTGTCTTTTGGGTAAGGAGGATGTGGAGTTGAGGGTTTAAGTCTACTTCCTTCTTCAGTAGGATTGGGTTTTAAACCAAATGGTAACTTAGTTTTCTGTCTCCATTATTTGTCTTTGCATATTAACAGATTTTAGGCATTGATGCTGACTGATTTTATATGCTAATACAGGTAATAAAAGTAGATAAGTGATTTTGAGAGCTTTTAACCAGGGTACCCATAATCTTGAAAGCAGTATAAACCTTGAGATGCAGAATGTCTACATATGAAATTCATTCCCTCAGAGCTGTATAGTCAAATTATTGCTACTTTTTCCATGAATAGTTCCCACTAATATGTCCTTATGCAGGGATGTTTGTATAATCTGTGCTAGTGTTTCTCTAACCTCAGCACTATTGACATTTTGGGCCAAATGATTCTTTGGGGACTGTCCTGTGCACTATAAGATGTTTGAACAGCATCCCTAGCCTCTATTCACTAGATGCCATTAGCAGCCCAGTTGTGGCAACCAAAAGTGTCTCCAGACATTGCCCAATACCTTCTGGGGTGGGGGAGAGGGCAGTTGTCCCTAGCTGAGAACCACTGATCTTTGCGTGATGCCTGTGTGCATGTGCTTGTTTTGTTTCAGTCTGTCATTAGAAGTTAGGTTCTTCGTGGTCCTGCCTTACTCAACTTTAATTAAACAAATACAACAGAAAGTTCCCACCTGAGTTACATATACACACCTGGTGATTGTATCTTCCCTGCGAAGGGCTACTCTTTACCAGTGCTTTTTACAGTTTAAGGTGCATTTGAATCACCTGGAAACCTTGTTATGTTGCAGATTTCAATTCAGTAGGTAGGGAAGGGCCTCAAATTTTGCAATATAACAAGCTACCAGGTGATGATGCCAGGACTGACTATGAGTAGCAAGGCTTTACTATTTACATGTCAGATAGTTTCTGGAAATGATATTCTGATTGAATATTAACTGAGCCAATTGTTCAGTATTGATGGTACCCCAATCTATGGACACAGCCTGTATTCCTCACCTAAAGGGCCATCCATTTTTTTTCATAGGGAACACCATGACTAAATTGGCTATCATTTGTCCACATTATTGGAAAAATGACTGAATATTTATGTCATAGGTGGTTGGTCAGTAGCTAAATTTTCACCTAAAAAAGGCAGTAAATAATTTTAGTTCCAATTTGTGATTTTCCTCACACAGCCCAAAGACTAAAATTTGGAGACTATATAATAACTTCCATTTTTTAATTTAGTGTCAGTGTTGTGTTGCCAACCAGTGAGTTAAATCAGTACATCTGTTGGTTCTAATTCTCATGGTAAGCTTATAGAGTTTGGGATTATTATCTCTATTTTATAGCTGTGAAAATCGAGGGTCAGAAAGATCTGGAAGGGCAAAGCCTGTGCTGTTTCTGCATACCACTTTGCCTCTCTAACGAACAACAACAACTACTGCATGGAACTGGTCCACATACAAAGTGTCTTTTTCAAGGATCACTTTCTGTATTAGAAAAACTGTGAAATTAAAGAAAAATTCTCATCATTGTGCTTGTATTCTTTTTAGTTCGTATCTTATAGAGCAGTGGTTTTCAAATGTTTGCTCTTATCTCTCCTAAAATAATTATTTTATTATGTACAACTAGTTTGTTCATTTGAAGAGTAATCGCGGTACTTCCCTTTAGCACATCATCTACTTTTTAAATTTTGCTTATTGGGGTGTGATTGAAAAATAAAATTGGAAGATATTTAAAGTATACAACATGATCATTTGATATACATATAAGTTGTGAAAGGATTCCCATCAAAATAACACATTCATCGCCTCACATATTCACCTTTTATTATGTGTGTGAGAACACTGAGGTTCTCTCTTAGCCATTTTCAGTTATATCACCAGTACTGTCAACTGGAGTCATGTTATATATTAGATCCGCAGACTTGATTCATTTTATAACTGTACCCTTTTACCAGCCTCTTGCTCTTTCCCCCACCCCACCCCGCCCCCGGCANCCCCCGGCAACCACCATTCTACTCTGTTTCTATGAATTAAACTTTTTTTTTTAGGTTCCACATATAAGTGATACAATGCAGTACATACCTGTCTGTCTTTGCCTGGCTTATTTCACTTAGCATAATGCCCTCTAGTTTTATCCACATTTTTGCAAATGTCAGGATTTTTTTTTTAATGGCTGAATAATATTACATTTTATATACATATATATGTATATACAGAGTTGGACAAAAGTAAGTTTACAGTTGTGAGTACACGAAACAAGAGTTTTTCTTGTATTATTGTATTATTTTCCATACCAACAACTGTAAACCTACTTTTGCCCACCTCTGTGTGTATATTTGTATAAAATCACATTTTCTTTATCCATTCATCTATTGTTGGACACTTGTTTCCATACTTTGGCTATTGTGACTAATGGGGCAGTGAACATGGAATTACAGATATCTCTTCAAGGTAGTGATTTCATTTCCTTTGACTATATACCCAGAAGTGGGATTGCTGGGTCATTTGGTAGTTCTATTGAGGAAGTTCCATGCTGTTTTCCATATTGACTGTACCAGTTTATAGGCCCACCAACAGTGGACAAGAATGCCACTATCTCTGCATCCTTGCTAGCATTTGTTGTCTCTTTTTGATAATAGATATTTCAACAGTTGTGACTGATATCTCATTGTGGTTTTGTTTTGCATTTCCCTGATGATTAATGATGTTGAACACCTTTTCATGTACCTGCTGGCCATTCGTATGTCTTTGGGAAAATGTTTAGGTCCTTTGCCCACTTTTCATTGGGTTATTGGGTTTTTTGCTTTTGAGTTGTGTGAGTTCCTTGTATATTTTGGATATTCAGTCCTTATCAATAAAAGGTGAATGTTACCTTTGCTTTTGGTATGAATTCCAAAAAATCATTTCCAAGACCATTGTCAAGGAGCTTACCCCCTATGTTTTCTTCTAGGAATTTTAGTTTCAGGTCTTAGTTTCAAATCTTTAATCCATTTTGAGTTGATTTTTGTGTGTAATGTAAGATAGCTTTATCTTAGATCATTAGATGATGTAAGCCCAGTTTCACTCTTTTGCATGAATATCTCGTTTTCCCAGCACCATTTATTGAACAAACTGTCCCTTTTCTATTGTATATTCTTGGCTCCTGTGAAAATTAACTGACCATGTATGGATGGGTTAATTTCTGGGCTTTCTATTCTGTTCCATTGGTCTATGTGTCTGTTTTTATGACAGTTCCATAATGTTTTGAGTACAATAACTTTGTACTGTGGTTTAACATCAGGACATGTGATGCCTCTAGCTTTTTTCGTCTTTCTCAAAATTGCTTTGGCTATTCGAGGTCTTTTGTGATTCCATATACATTTTAGGATTTTTTTAAAAAATTCTGTGAAAAATGCCATTGGAATTTTGATTGGGATTGCATTGAATCTGTAGATTATTTTGGATGGTATGGACATTTTAACAATATTAATTCTTCCAATTCATGAACACAATATCTTTCTATTTATTTGTGTCTTCAGCTAATTTCATCAATGTCTTATAGTTTTTACTTATAGGTTGCTTACCGACTTGGTTAAACTTATCCCTAAAAATTTTTTATGCTGTTGTAAATGGTATTTTAAAAAAAATTATCTTCAGTACTTTGTTCTAAAAGAATTTTTAAAAACTAAGTACTTCATACATTTTAAAGCTGGCATCTGGAATTTTTTATTCAAGGAAATACTTTTAAAAGATATATATTAACCTCTGCCATACAATCTAAAAGTCATCATTGGCAAACCAGTCAGCCAAATCAGATATTCAGGAAAAGTCTGATTCAATTTTTCAACTTAAGTAAATGTGTAAATACCATTTCATTTCTAAAAGAGATGAGGCACAGGGGCTTGCCTGAGTTGTCCCTA